ATGGAGAGAAGGCCTCAATAGCAAAACTCTTTGAACAAGGTAGTAGTAATTTCTTAGTTGATATTTATAGAAAAAAACTATAATAAAATTTATAAAAATAATCTATTTATAGTAATTGTTTTGCTTTCTCTTATAGTGGGATTGCAAAAAATCTTGTCATTGCTTGAAGCAGAAGATGCTGATGTGCGGATTTATGCTGTGAAAGTGGTAGCAAATTTAGCTGCTGAGGGTATTTTCTTTCTTCCTGTCTATTCCTTGTTTACTTTTTGTTGTAGCCCGGACATACTTTGTTCTAAACTTTACGTGATTAAAATAGAGTACCGTCATTTTTAAGTAGTTGCATGTCATCTAATTTTTCTCATTCATGTGGTTTCATATTAATACTTGTGAATCTTGGGGGAAGCAATTTTAGGAGTGAAATTATCAATTCTAGATACTTTTTGCGTGGATGTATTTACTATTTTCCTCATCTCTTCTATCCAGATAATAATTTCTTTGATGGTGTTGTTTCTTATTTGATCTGTCCATGACAATGTAAATTTCACCTCCATTGTGCAGAAACAAATCTGCAGAAGATTGTAGAAGCTGGAGGTATAACTTCCTTGCTGATGCTGCTTGGAAGCTCTGAGGATGAGACCATACATAGAGTTGCAGCTGGTGCAATTGCCAATCTTGCGATGAATGGTAAAATTTAGCTCCCATATTCATCATTGTTATACTACTATAGAATATGATGCTACTTTCTCTGAAGTCTTTTCGCTGTCAATGGTTCTTCCGTTTAAACATTGCTCCTTTTTTTGTCAGAAACCAACCAGGAACTCATAATGTCTCAAGGTGGAATTAGCTTGTTATCAACAACAGCTGCTGATACTGAGGATCCTCAAACACTTAGAATGGTTGTTGGGGCCATCGCCAATCTTTGTGGCAATGGTAAATTGCTTGACCTCTGTGATTTTTATCTGCAGCAATCTTCTTATTTGGCTTGCATGGTTAAATTTATAAGTAGTTTGTGCATGTTGTCTCAACAACATACATTTCCTTAACTTCAATCAAATGTGTTTATGCGATCAGGGACTTAAAAACGTCTAATAGTCAAAACTTAAAATGTTAAGTTTTTTTCCTCTGAGGTTGTTCCAAATGAGCTCTTTACTATGCATATGCATTTTTTTAAGGAGTCAAAATGATACATCTACTATGACCTAACATGATTCTCTTTTTGGCTTTTTATACAGCCAACCCCAGAATTATGGGATATAAGGCTTATTTTGTTGTTGCTATCAAAGTGATACATCTATTGGCCAAAAAAATCCATGTGAAAGAACTTCGACTTCTATAAGGCTTAAATAAATGTGTTGTTTTATCAATAACTTTCTGAAAGGTTCATTAAGTTGATCAGTTGGTTTACCTCTTCAATTGTGTACTTCTCCGTTACGGTCTCTAGATAAGCTGAAGACTAGCTAAGAGCTGAAGGTGGTATCAAGGCTTTGCTAGGAATAGTCACATGTGGACATCCAGATGTTCTTGTAAAAGTTGGTCGTGGAATATCTAACTTTGCTAAATGTGAGTCAAGAACATCAACTCAAGGTGCATTTTCTTGGAGAATGACTTCTTGAAGTCTTTTGATCTCATCGCTGGTCACCTGACATTTTTTAACTTGTTGATCCCTTGTTAACAAAGTTTAGGATGCACGTTCAGAAACAATATGATTTATTTGTCTTCTGGAGTAATTTGGTTCTCAAATGGTACAGGAAGTAAAAGTGGAAGGTCTCTTCTGATTGAGGATGGAGCACTTACATGGATTGTACAGAATGCTAACAATGAAGCCTCGCCTATCAGGCACCATATTGAGCTTGCACTCTGCCAGTTAGCACAACATGGTAAGTTTGTTTTCTCTTCGGAAAATTTCGAGAGGTTTCTCTTTGAAAATCGTTCTGTAACGATACTCCAATTGCAGAAGTGAATGCTAAAGACATGATAAGCGGAGGTGCCTTGTGGGACCTGGTCCGCATCTCGCGAGTGTTCTCGGGAAGACATAAGAACTCTTGCACATCGAACGCTTGCTTATAGTCCCACCTTCTTAGCTGAATTGAGGCTGCTAAGAATAGACTACTAAAAAATATGGAAATTTTGGTTGAAGTGGACTTGAAGTTCAGAAACCGTGTCAGCTTAAACTAATTCAGACAAGAGGATTGATACTCCCCCACATATAAACAAGCAGGAGTGCTTACAGCTGTGCCCCTGTTGAAGTTTTGTTATGAAAATAAGAAAAAGAGTACGTTTGGCTTGGTAGTCAAAATATGCTGTTGATTACACTCGGAACCTCTGATTTATTACTCAAATTGTTGTCTCGTCATCTCATTTCTGAGACCTTCCTGTGTAGTCTGCCAATTATAGTAAACAAATGATTTGTATATGAATGGATAGAAGGGTAACTAACATCCATTTGCTGTTCTTGTATATAAATTATTTATTCTGTAAGGATTCATTTGTTTTGGAAAATCTTTTTCTTTTAGTTTTTCCCATCAGAAACCCTAAAAACCCCTCAATATGTGTTAATGCAGTTATATATATATATATATATATATATATAGTTTATATTTGATATATTGTCAATGATGTCATCTCGTTAATAAGCAAATATTAACCTTTAAAATAAATATACAAAAATTATTATTTTTTAAAAAATTTATTTATTAATGAGGTGGTATCATTTGATTTACTTTATTAATGAAGTGGTATCATCTGATTTATTTCATTAATAAAATGACATCATCTTATTCACTAACAATATATAAAATTTATACATTAACAATGTATCAAATATAAATAAATATATATATATATATATTCTTAGTTGCTGGCTGACTTGTGTTCCAACTTTGGTGATTAAAGGATTTAATATCAATGTAGAATTCACTATAATTTTATTTGTATCTTTAATTTTTATCCAAAATTTACTGTTCAAAACTAGAACTATTTTTTAAATAAAAAAGAAACTAATATATATATATATATATATATATATATATATCTTGATTCCTTTCATTAACATCAAGTTATTCATGTTCCATTTATATATAATTAGCAAATGGTAAAGAAATATCTTAGTTTTGCCTGATAATATTAAGAAACGTAAAACATAATTCCCATGCTGTCGTTGCCTTGAAAAGTGTTTTTTTTTAACGTTCTTTTCAATTTAAAAAAAAAAATTGAAGTACAATGCGAAATGAAAATTTTCGAACAATTATTAGACATGCAAATCAAGAAACTTCATATTCTTTGTCATCTTTATTGAATGAAAAGTTTTTGATAGGATATCATTAAGTAATTGATTAATGTTTGAATTTTAACTGTAATTATTCGTTAAAATTATTTTAAATACATAATTTATAATTATTTATTTTAAATTATTAAATATGATATATTTTATTTTAATTTAAAAATTAAAAATTTATTTACTTTAAATTTTATTTATTCAAAAAAAATTTATCTGATCTATTATTATGAAGTACTTCTTGAGATTATATATAAATATATGAAATTAAGTTACTTTTTGATAATTAATCATCCAAAAAAGTAATCTACTAATGTTATCGCATGTAAAATTTTTACAAATAAATTTATTTAATTGGTGGTTATCATATGTACTAGTAATTGTTTTCTTCAAATACCCAGTTTTCTGATTTGAAAATCCCTACCACATTAATTCGCTTGCATGCCTTAATTCCTCAATTTGTCAATTCATTGTGAAATATGAGGCAATGTAGAAATCAAACTAATTCAAACAAGTTGACATACAACCAGTAGATCATCACGGCAATAGAATTGGCATGAAAAAAAAAGCATGAAAATCAACAGGCCTACAAAAATAAGAAGAGATTAGTTTATGAGCAAAGCTAGGGTCTTAATAAAAAAGAACCCACATTTTAACTGTCAAATCATGAGTTAATATTAATCAATAAAAGGAGAAGAGCACAAGAAAGACGAGGGGTAGGGTAATAGACAGGAAAAGCTGAAGTTCAAGAATTCAATGAAGAAATACAGAACGGATAAGTCTAAGGTTAGATTTTTAGAAAAAGAAAAACAAGCAGCCAGCTGCGGGTTTTAAGAGGTAGAGTTGCAGTGCAGAGAATCTGAACTGGATTTTGGCTAATTGAATCTTAGAACAGCTGCCCAATCCCCAGTTCTCTGAATCCAAAAATTAGACAGATAGGGAGATAAGGGGTCTAAATTTGCAGCCCACTTTGTCTTGGTCGATGCCTTTTTTGTGCAAATGTTTTGTGGTATTACCTCGAACAGGAGCTTGTTCAGAGCAGTGCACGTTTAACCCAGTACCCAAATATTTTCATGTCTCCGTATCTTTAAAAAAACTCTTAACACTGTGTCTCAAGAAACACACATGTCGAAACTATAATGCCCATACCTCTTTGCCTGCTTCTCGATCCTAGAGAGTTTGCCACCCGTAGTGCTGAAAACCGTCTCATTTTGCCAGGTTTAATCTCATCCCTCTCTCCTTTGTCCTTGTCTGCTTCTTAAACAACAAAATATAACGAAGAGAAAAGGTACTAGCTAGTACTATATAATTTTGTGTATAGGAATTGAATATATGTGAATAGGCAATCAAGTGTAAAAGCACACAACAAATGAAATGCCTATAGCAGCTTGTTTCAATGGGTGAAATATTATAAGAGAGTTTCTTGGAGTTGCAACAAGAAAAATATAGTGAAAAGGAAGTATTGCAAGTAACCTAAGCTATTTTGGCAGCTGTTCCCTTTCTTCTTGTTGTTCGTCTGCACCTTCTATTGAAACATACTGGAGACACTTATTCTCGTAAAATCAAATGCACCAAGAATCCTTTGAATTTACAGTCATTTCACTCAACATGCTGGCATATGATCTACTCATCAAATTCAATTTAAAAAAAAAAGGAAAAAGAAGTAAAAGAAAACAAAACCTGAAATGCTGCTCAACAAACCCAATTTTCCTACATATTAAGTTTTTGTCCTCTTGATGGCTATAGCTGAAGGTGAAGCTGGAACTGAATTAACAAAACAACAGTATCATTCAGTACTGGAAACTGTTAGCTAGAATGGAGGGCGACCAGAAGCCCAAAATGCTTCAGTTGGTAATTGAATAGAATTGAGAAGATTAGGTGGTAGCCCATGAAAAAGAGGCGCGTTTGACTCAGCCAATACTTGTTGCTGCTGCTGCTGTTGACCTCCAACTGCTCCTGGTGACCCAATTGCACCCCCTTGCATTGGAAGCTGCAGCTCTTCTTCTTCCAATGGAAGCCGCTCATATGCGGCGTTACTAAAAGAAGCTGCCATAATCACAACCGGGCCTGAACAAATAAGTGTCCCAACAACACTGCCACCTACCACCTGGCCTTGTCCACCAGCCAAATATATGGTCAACCCCGTAGCTGCAGGCGGTGCTGGTGGAGGCAAGAATGATCCTGCCAATGACAATATCTCAAATCGACCATGTAAAGTCACAATTGCACCAGACGAGGCTGGTTGCCTGAGGGTTACATTTGTGACGGTCCCAGTTCCACTCATTATGCAAACTCCTCTCTGGCGTCTACTAGCAAATGTTGCGACGCTTTCAACAATGTCACATCCATCTCCTATTTCCATGACATGAGTGCGTAAAGCGTTGGCACTGTCTCGGGTGATGATGATCGGAGGCTTAGGTTTGTTCTTGGACCCAGCAGGCCTGCCTCGTGGTCTTCTACTTATCTCTCCTTCACCAAAGCCTGGAAAACTTAGGTCTTTGCCTTCATTGTTGGCGCTGCTGCTGTTGATGTTGTTGCTATCGTCGCGATCCCGTTTCTTTTGGCCACTGCTGCTGCCACTTTGTTCTTCTTCTGAATTTTGGTGATGGAATTGATGTTCTTGCTGTTGCTGCTGCTGATGGTGAAGATTGAAATCTCTCATATGAAATGGAGGAGGAAGAGAAAGACCATGTGATGTAACTGGATCCATTGCTTTTTCCTATATACCAGTATTTTTTTTCTTTCACTTGATTAACAATCTCGAAGCTCTTACTTCCTCACATACAAAACAGAAACCCAGCTCAAAGAAGTGATTAAACACCAAATTAAGAAATAATGAAAGCACAAAGATGTAAGAGCTCGTAAAAGAATTAAAGGAAGATGGTGGAAGCAAAAGAGGGTATAAAAATAAAATAACAAAGACTGCTGGGACTTTCTTTCTTTTTAACTTGTTTAATGAACTAGTAAACCCTACACCAGAACCCAGAAACTGGCTTGACTTTCGGTTTCAGCAGAAGAAGTTTCAGCTGAATTCACCATCTATACAGAAGAGTTTGCAATAAAGATGAAAAAAGATAAAGAAGATGGGGGCAGAAAAGTAAAAAAGCATAGAGGTAGGGTTTAGAAAGGTATAAAGGAGATGGAGATTGGGTTTAGCTTTGGCAAAGTCTTCGTGCTAATGGCCTTATGGGCGGCGGAGTGAGGTCCCCACTTTTCTTTTCCCCTCCCTTAATTTGTCTCCTCCATGCGGTTTTCGAGAATTTATATTATATTTTTTTATTAATATTTAGTGTATATTTTAAATTTATTTACATTCTTATTTTCTTATTTTAGGTACGGTTAATTAACTATTGTATTAGTAATTTTTTAAAAATATTTTTTATTTTATTTTTTTGTTTATGTAATTTTTTAAATATATATTAATATTTTTAAAATAAAAATATATTAATTTTAATTAATTTAAAATAAAATTTTATATTATTTAATAAAAAAATCTATTTACAAATATATAAGATACATATATGATACAAATATTATGTTATCTGTCTTTACTTTTTTATTATAAAAAATTTTAAATTATACACATTTTTTATTCTTAAAATTTAATATTCATCCATATTTTTATCAAATAAAAATTCAAATTTTATATTAAATATGAATAAAACTAACATTTTTATTCCATAATTTTTTTTCAAACAATAACAACAAATTAAACCTTATGTCATGTATCTCTTTCTTTTCAATAATAATATAATAGTGTATGTGATAATTTCAACTTACCTCTATTACATTACATAGCCCTCCAACTCCTTTGCTAAAAAGAAATTCAACCCCTCTTTTAACAAGATTATGTACATTAATGTGGGTAGTGTAATTCTTAACTACAGCTCCTTATTTAATAAAATAATTTTGAATCAAATCTTTAGCACACATATAATTTTTTGTTATATAATAATAATAATAAAATATACCATATTCATATCTCAAAATTTAAAATTTTTTAATTTCATTTTAAGATAATAAAAAAAATTAACCAAAGGCTTTCAAATTTTAAATATTAAATTTTAACCGTTGAATGAATATACGTTAAGAAAAAAAATTAACTACATTCCACCACATGGTTCAACAAAATGAACTAATAAGTCAGGTTGCTCTATTTCCTTGTTTTATTAGAAGAGACCTTCTAAAGCTTAGGGTTTCTATTATTGCGGGGGATTTGGATGAAAAAAAAAAAGCCTAGCTGGCACATTAATTAAATTGGACTGTCATTTGAAATTAAAAAAAAAAAAAAATGACAGAGACACAGAGAGAAACGTTTGGTTCAATTTTTACCATGACCCTACAGATGCAACTAGCTTCTGCAAATTATGTCTCTCTCTCAATATTAACGTTACAATGGTCCACACTATTATAAAATCAACACGTGTCTCTTCCCCTCTCTTTAAGGGGATCCAATCGATTCTTAGTCATTCTTACGTTTCTTGCAATCCAGGCTATTGACTATTGACTTTACTTTGATAAGATCCACGTTAAGATAAGCTTATTCGTCAGAAATAATTTTAAATTAGGTTTAATTCCCACTACCTTGTATATATAGATATTTGGTGGATTTGATATTGCTATGCTCACAAGGAAAAAATGAAATTTGAGTTAGCTAATTATTATATGATGAAGGATTATGATAAATAAAGATTTTTAAATTTAAATGACTAGTTATGCTCTAAATTAAAAATGTAGCAACGAGTATTCGGACGTTTAATAAAAAAGATTATATACATATGACAACATTAAAAACTTCATTGCATACCAAAAAAAAAATTCATAACATAAGAATTAAATTAAAAATATATATATAAGATGCATTTGATGTACAAAATTATAATAAAATAAAATAAGATAATATTATAAATAAATTAAATTAAATGATATTATCTTATCTTATATTTGATATGTATAAAATTAAAATAAAATAATTTATTTATTAATTAAAATTATCTTTTTTTAAAGTTCATATTAAGACATATAAATTCAATCTTATGAATTAAAAATATTTTTTTATTTTAAAAAAATTTAAAATCTTACATAAAAAAATATTAATTTTTTTTACATTCTATCTATTTTTTTATATACAAATTAAATACAACATAAAATAATTATTATTCTATCGTATCTATTATTTTTTGCACTAATCATGATCATAATTTATGTGTGTGAAATATGTATATAAAAATCTCTTTTCATTTTGTTGGCATATATTAAAGAAGTCAATAGGCAGAGGGTTTTTATTAACAACTAGGCAGTGATGAAAAAGGGAAATATACTCTACCTACTTTTAGACGTACAATGCTAATTATAAACCATCCTCATAAGTCATATTATCCGGTAAACACTAATTTCTTCTTTTAAACACAGTACTATCCACTATTCAGTCAAAATTAGTAGCTAATAAATTCATAATTAGATTCTTAATTATCATACAGCCCAATTTATTAACAGATTGAGAGTATTAATAACAAAGTTTTAAATGAAACATTTTTCAATCATCTTTAATCTTTTTTTTTCTCTTTTTACATTTTCTTGCATGGTATATTTTTCGACTCTCCTTTCACCATTTCACATGCAAATTACAAAGAAAAAAAAAACTCAGAAATTAAAATATTACAAGTCCTACCGTTGCGTGCTAGACCCATATGTCCAATCTTGTAGCATTATTCATATCCAATGTATATCGAGAAAGAAAGATCAAAGGAAGGTGATAGTAGATCCTATAAAATGTAAAACTAATATGTTGCTCAACCCATCGAAGATATATATAGATAAATTCTATAAACAAGTTTTGTTTGATGAACGGCCATGATATGATGAGTACATTATTTTACACGTTAATGCAAGTATATGTGAATCGCTCTATGGGTGGATGGATGGGGATGGGGGTTTGACCGCATAATCCAGAGTGTTGGGGGCGTGAGTGGGTGAGAAAAGACGCGTGGGAGGCGCTGACAGAGAAGCACAAGGCAAGGCAAACTGGCAATGCATTACAATGCAGGCGCGGCCTGGAGAGAGGTTGGTAAATTGCTAATGTTGTTGTTGTTGTTGGGCTAGCCAACGGCTGAAACAAAAACAAGGAGGCAAGTCTTAATTTCCATCATCTTTTCTGATCAGACTTATCTCGCCTGACTGGCAAGAGGACGCAAACCCATGCATTAAAAGATGCTCTTCGTCGGGTCTTTCTCTCTTTCCTCATGCATGGACGCCTCCACTTTAGTTTCCTCCCCTTCACTACTTGTTAGATTTTAGATTGGATGATCCTCTCTCTATCTACAGCGCTTACACCCCCTTCCCCTAAAATTTAAGCCTTTTTTTGGTCTTATCCTTACTAGAAATGGGATTATTATCCATCTCCATGGACGTCCTTCACAGCCAAACCTAAAAGGGATTTGTATATAAGTTGCTAGTTAGGAAGCCATTAATTGACTGGGTTTAATTAGGTTGATTATAAATTTCTTGCCATACCTCAATGCCTAGGACTCTAGGAGTTAATTTGATGATAGGTGGATTAATTAGGTTTGATCTTTGGATCAAAATTATTATGATTAAAATATTATTTTGATTCAAATTAGTTATGGATTTAATTTTGATTCAATAGTAAAAAAAAAAAAAAGTGTAAGGGAATCCTTACCATATATACCATACAGTTTATGTATCTCTAATATATAAATTCAACCCATTAATTTAGAATTGAATATATTAATTTCAAATTTTTATGTTAAAATCTAATTATAAGTATAAGGATGTTTAAAATATTTGAGGTTTGAACTGTAATTACCAATTTGTAAAAGAAAATTTGATACTATCCTAATTAATAACCAAAATTTTCAACCTTAAAAGAATTCAAAAAAAATTTAAAAACCTTTAAAATAACATGAGAAGAATGTACAAGAATATTTTTTATTTTTATTCTTTGTAAACATAAGACTCACAAAAGCTGTTATTTCATTACTATCATGGTGATGTTATAATATTATTTATTTTTTGGTTCATTTGAGATGACTCCTGATTTTTTTTTGTTTGCTAATCTTAATTTCTTTAATTTGTTTTTGTTCTTGGCTTTGTCAAGCGCAAAGATGCTGGCTGTCTATATTCCATGATATCTCAAAAGTTTGATAATAGAAAATTATTATTTTATATAAGAAGGATTATTCGGTACGATCGAACAAAATATAATTAAAATATAATTTAATTTATTCATATAATCACTTTTAAAAATTACATCTAATAAATTTATAATTCAAATTTTAATATCTACAATCCTGACTTTCTTTATACAAAAATTGAACTGCAAAGCAGCCTCTCACTTAAAAAAAATATATATATATATATATATATTTTTCCCCTTTTGATATAAATAGAGATGTAGGAAGATTAATTAGACTATCAGAAGCGTGTATTTAGGAGCGTACGTGTTGAGAAAAATTGAAAATGAAATCAAGAAATGGCCTCTTCTATATTGTTGTTAATCTCCTAGGCCGGCTTCATTTGGAATTATGTGAATTTTTTTTTTTTTTGACAATAAAAGAAACAGACAAGAAAACAGAACCAAGCTTAGGGTAAGTCAACGCAGCACCAACTGGATTGTCACTGTTTTTTAATTCAATTTTGTTGCGATGCTTAATGATATATTGAGATGTTTGTTGAATTTCTTATAGTAATGAAGACTTAATTTGAGTTTTAATTAAAATTGAATTTTTGATAATTTGTCGGCTTTCAATTATTAAAAATTAAGAACAAAGTCGTTGCCGCAACGTTCAGTGTTTTTTTTTTTTTTTGCCAAATCCACAACGTTAAGTTCACGGGCTCATAATATTTATTTATTTATTTATTAGTAAATGTTAAATTTTGTCTTATTGCCATAACAGTAATTGGTGTCTATTCAATTAAAATGAATGATGTTTGTTAATTTGTTAGTCGGCCTTTGCATTATTTTGCACTGAAATTCGTTGATTGTAAGTTGGCATACTTCAAGAAAGTAAAGGAATTAATTATCTTATGCTTATTACCAATTTCTTTTAATAATGAAATTAGATTTAAAATTTAAATTTTAACATCTATAATTCTTTTTTTTTTAAGATTACGGTCTCTTTTAATTTTTTATTTATAAAAAAAAAAAAAAAACCTTAGAAACTATCACAACTTTGAATGGCAGTGACACAAATTATATTTTAAATGCCTTATCTTAATCAATCCATTTATTCCATTAAACAAATCAACCAATCACCATCTTATTTTTTAAAAAAATTCAAAGAAATATATATATATATATATAAAAGAAAAGTTAAACAAAAGATAAGCAACAAAATAATTAAATTAAACGGCATGTGAAAGGCACCCCCATTGCATCGAATCTGGCATAATATTGTTGCCATGTTTCTGCTTTTCTCATGTCTTACCAGTTCAAGGCGGTTGCATCTTCTGCGGGGGAGGCCAACGAAAATTAGCTTTCACATGTCGAGGTTTAATTAAATTAACTCAAGTCAATAGATCGAGTTAGATGCTAAGTAAACGACAAACCAAAGCGCCCACGTGATCGATCCATGGTAATCCATTGGGAATCTTGTTGAAGATCATAAATTTAATTTCATCATATCATCACCAATTCTTAATCTCAAAATGCTAATTAATTAAATATCATCACCATAAGTTTTTTTTTTTTTGTTGCTTTTAAAATTTTGTTAGTGTAAATTATCCATAGATAGAAAGACATACTAAAAAGCTCATAATATTTTAACTATAAAGCAATCTACAAGAAAATAAGATATTAAATTTAATGATAATCTATATGAAAATAATATAATATCATCTAAAAAATTATTTCTCGTTGTTTGTTCTTGAGGATGGAGTTTTTTTTTTTTTTTTTTTTTTTTTTTTTTAATTTCTGGTGTCAAAGTTCTGGGATATTTATGTAGTAACTTTTTCGACCATCCATGGAGTTTATTTGCGGAATAATTCATGGCCTGACAAATCCATTTTTTAATTAAATGGCGCAACATTGAGCCTAACCCAATTAATATATCCCAATTTCCAGACCAGACCAAGGCCAGCCCATTTAAAAGGTCTCTTACAACTTTGAGAAAATATGATAAAGATCAAATGAAACATCATAATTTCTCCAAAAAAATCATCATAATCATCACAATTTACATTGTGTGGATGTAGTTTTAAATAATGAAAGAGCTTTCTTTACAATTATTTTTGCTATGAATAATGTTTTTGTGTTATATTCACAATTTATAATTACAACAATAACAATACATTAAACTTATATCCCATAATTTGATATCGGTTGTGTAAAAAATTAAATAAAAAAATTATATTAAGTTGTAGTTTGAATCCTCTTGAATCGTTTATTTTTATCAATAATTATTTTTTCATCTAATTTCTTAACTATAATATTATTTTTTTATTACTTGTATTCATATCTTTCGTGATTTACTTTAAATATTTTGATCTTTTTTAGATTTAGAGACTCAATTCTTCTAATCGGTGCACAACTAAGTCTACATTTTACATGTTCAAACTATCATAAATGATCCTCTCTCATCTTCTCTTCAATTCGAATTATTCTTATTTTTTCTCAAATCTCTCAATTTTTTATTTTTCCTCTTCTAATTTTATCACACATTCATCTAAGTATTTTCATCTCCGTAACATTCATTTTCTTCTCATATTATTTTTTAACAGTCCAACAGTCAATTTCATATAGTAATACAAGTCTTATAGTTATTTTATATAATTTCGCTTATATTTTTAAAAATATGTTGCTATCACACAACATAATTAATGCGTTTCACCACCAATCTCTACTTAAATCCTATAATGAGTTTTTTAGGAATTTGGTGCATTCTAATTAGTAGATGTATCGGACCATTTCAAAGTTGCAACCAATTGAATCAAGTGACAATCATTGTGGCATTAAATCATCAAGATTTTAGTGGGAACATGAACTTGAGTAGAAGAAAATAACTTTATTTTGCAGGCTATGTCTATCTTTTATTTCTCTAGTCTTTCTTTCCTTGACTCAATTGGAAACTTATTCATGTCTATCGTCACCATACACCAATCAGTTATGGAGTGGACAAAGTTAAGAGGTACAACTCTGATCCCACTAAAAAAAAAAAAATTCAAATACTATAATTATATCATGATTGGCTTGGCAATTGGCACCATTAGCAAAATTCTCCAACTTTTTGGCGTAGGTAAAGTTATTTCTTTTGTAAAAATACGCATAAATTTGACAGTTATGAAGAAATATATCGAAGTGAGACCTGCACTTACTGCCGTGCTAAATTCATTATGAATAAAAAATAATTATGGGAGCATTTTGTTTCTAAGATTTTTTAGGGTAATCTCTCTAGTTAATACATTGCAAATTCAAAATTTTGGTATATTGTTCCCTAATTTCAGCATTTAAATCATCTTCATTTGTCACTGAATTGGATCGTATTCACTCCAAGAGCATCCATGAATTCCTTAAAGTCTATGGAAGCAAATGAAGATGAGCTGCAGCCAAAACCAGCGAATAGCACCCTGGATTCTCATTACTGGTATCGCTTTTCATTGCTCAAGACTTCCAGCTTTAGGAAAATTTTTCTGGCCAGCTTGCTCAAAAGCCCAAGGCAAGACTCGAAAGTACTAGACATTTGTTAAAACTAACAGAGGACATATAGCACTACTCAAGGAGGAAGATGATTGATTATTTTTGGGGCGTGAATATGACTGATTTTTGTAATTATGGGGTTGGAATTGTCCCCTGGAAGTGTGGCTTGCACAAAACTCGTAATCTTCGAATCTTAATTATTATAGGTACCATATGATTGCATTTAGAACTTATCTGAATGACCTAACATTGCTTAATTGGATGAAACAACAAAAGAATTTGGAAGATGAAGTGGCTATCCAGCCAGATATTGCTCAATCATTTTCAAGTATGCATCTTTGATCAGTAATGCTCTTCCCTTCTAGAAGACATACATGGCCATAGTACAGTGTTATATTGCAAAAAGGAATCCTACCAATCATTTCAGGAGTATATCTTATCGTGATATAGACTGCCACAGTGCATGGTGTTGCAGTGAGCAAGAAACTTCTGCACATTTTTCTTCTGAATGAGCTAATAATAAATATATAAATATACAAGGTTTGGCCTAGGTTATTTCCCTTATCTACTGGTTTTGATGTGGCCAGTGCCTTCAATCTAAATTATTTTCTTTAGGCTTGACCTGTTTCATATCTTTTAAAACCTTTTGAGAGGCCATTCCATTTCCAACAATAAAAGAATAAGGTTGATTTTTCCCTTGTTGCCTGTAGTGAAGGGAAATGTTTAAATATATAAATTCTCATAAAAAATCATGTGTTGAAATTGAAAGGATTAAGCAATATAGATTCATCTTTATGGAACCGACAACATAGTTACTTTGGTGAAAGAAATGTAAGCATATAAAGTAACTTGAAATTTTCTTGTGGATGCAGACTGTAAACTTCATTAATTGCATCCAAACTCCTGCTGGTAAAAATTGTATACAATATCAATAATAGAGGATTGATAGTTCATTAATTTATTAGATAAAGTTATGCTGCCTTGCATGTATTTCCAACCAAACCTTATCACTGAATCCAACTTCTACATCAAACAAAAAAGAGTGGTGCCTCTATCTTTTCTTTTCTTTTCTTTTCTATATATCAGAAAATGAAAGTGAAGAAAAACTAGGTGCCTCTTCCTTTTAGGAAAGGATACCCTTTTTTTTGAATGTTGGGATGTGGTGCATGGTTCTTTGAAATCCATTGATAAATAATTTACTAAGTTGCAGTCTTACCCCTTCCACTTCCACTATGATAAGATACAGTAATTGGCTTGTTTATCTCAACAAGTCCTGTGTTTTTCCTTCCCTCTCAGGCTAACATAATGAGTTAGTGAACAAAGCATTTCTTAATTTCCACTATAACATTCCTTCTTGCTATGATTAATTCCTTTCGGTTATGGCACTACATTCCTAATAAGAAAGTTGCACATAGAATACTACTGATTCCATTGGACATATATTAATTCCTCCGTTTCAAAGGTAGATTACATCTATAGCCTACTGATTCCATTGGACATATACTAATTCCTCCGTTTCAAAGGTAGATTACATCTATAGCCTTTTCTTTGTTCAATCTAGCAGTATCACTTGCATAAAGCATTATTCAATCTAGAATCTAATTGATCTCCATCCCAAATTCACAGCTAATTTTATTCACACGATCTTGAGTAGATGCGCACTAGAGCTTGATTCTTCAAGCTCATATTCTCCTGCCTAATTGCAGGAGTTGTAAGCTCTATCACATCTCTCTCTCTCTCTCTCTCTTCTCTCCATCTCCATTAGAAATTGTACATGGAGATGTACTCAATCATGGAGAGGTTGAGACGTCGGAAACGCACAAAAACCAACCAGGAATTAAGGCAGAGATATTCATGCTTTATGAATTGGGAACAAGTGGAAAGCAAAGTGCTCTTGATAAAGAAGAAAAGGACTGAATGACGATAGATACACGAGTGAGTGCTGAGTGCCTCTGTCCTTTTGAAGAAAACAAAGCAGAGTGTTTAGATGTCTTTAATGGCTTCCCTCTGATAGTGTGTTTTTTTCCATTTGGCAGGACAAGATTGATGACCATAATTGCTGTCTTTTCTCTTTCCAAAGAACCTTTTTTCTCCAAAGAGAAACCGTCAAATAACAAGTTTGATTGCCTATTTATATTTACAAAAAGGATGGAAAAGGAAAAAAAAGAACCACTTTAGCACCCGTATCATTGCTATCCAAATTTAATTCCTATCTCATAACACAGGCATATGTTACAAAGAGTTAATTTTACTACAACTTTGTTGTCTTTGGCCTTTGAATGTACCATGTAAACTGACAAAATGAGAAATGATAAGAATATAGAATAAACTATTAGTGACTTCAGAAAATGAAAGAAAAAGCTTAGATATGGTGGCCCAGCTAGCCCCTTTTGATACCTTGCAGCATATAATCTGAGCAAACCCATTCATCCTCAAAGGCCAAGCAGCTAGCGGGACCACAGCATTTTTGCTCACACCTTAAATATATTACTCTTCAAATTATTTTACCCTTTCCTTTGAAAGATATGATGAAATATAATTTCAATGTTAAATGAAACCAGATCAGAACATATTGTTGTTTTTCTCTTGTATGTGATAATATTCTTGACTAAATCTTTTTCACTTCATTGATTTAGCACCGATTCTCCTAATCTGTATGGGAAGATATCGTCTTCAGGATTAGATCCTTGGATATAAAAGCATTCAAATACTTTGACTAGAGTCTAGATAATGAGCACTTCCTTCTCACATGGCGATGATTTTTCGACTACCCTTCTGTCACAGTTATAATCGTCCTTTAAGAACAAAATGAAGCATGAAAAGCATCTGGCTAAAGGATATTTTAGCTACTCTAAAGCAATGAATCAGGTGGGGAGAAAGGTTGTCGGAATTTCAAAGTTCCAAGGCAGCCTTGGTAAAACTAGTGCAAAAGTAAATATTCTTGGGAAGAAAAAACCAGTGAATATGAAACGAATATCTCACGAGATTTGAAGAGGATTCGTAAGCATGAATTTGCCCTTAGCATTTTCATCACGCACTATAAATCCACCACCCAAATCTCTCTTCATTCATTGGCCGTTACAATAAAAAGCCACCACATTTGCACCTTCAGAAACTAACATCCTCACGAAACTCATGCACCAGCAGAAAGCAATCAATCTTATCTAAAGAAACCCTGATTTCCCATCTCTCTCCTGATAAATATATATATATATATATATATGGATTTTGGAACAAGCCCACCAATCTGCTTTGCTCAAGAAATAATGCCTGCAACCTTAAGTTTAGAAGAGAACCCAACTGAAAAAACATCTCAGTCACATTCACTTTCAAATCCCACCCAGAAATGGCCAGCCAACCTCATGCAAATAATGCTTTCAGAGCTAAAAACACAGAGAGGAATAGCAGTTCCTTTGGTTGCGATGAACTTAACCTGGTTTGCAAAGATAGCGGTAACTACAGCTTTTCTAGGCAGGCTTGGAGAGCTCCAATTAGCCGGTGGCACACTTGGATTCACCTTTGCTAATGTCACTGGTTTCTCCGTCCTGAACGGACTTTGTGGTGCCATGGAACCTATTTGTGGTCAGGCCTTTGGAGCTAAAAACTTTAGGCTCCTCCACAGGACGCTTCTGATGGCCATATTCTTGTTACTGTTAACTACACTGCCCATTTCTTTCCTTTGGCTTAATGTTGACAAAATTCTAATCCATTTTGGCCAAAAAGAAGACATTTCAGCTGTTGCAAAGATATATATTCTCTATCTTCTCCCTGATTTGGTTGTCACTTCATTGCTATGCCCTCTCAAAGCCTATTTGAGCTCTCAAAGCAAAACTATTCCCATTATGTTAAGCTCAGCTCTTGCGCTTGCTTTTCACATCCCCATCAACATGTTTCTAGCAAAAGCCAAGGGTCTTGAGGGAGTTTCAATGGCTATCTGGATAAGTGATCTCATAGCTGCAATCCTTCTAGCCTTATATGTACTGGTGGTAGAAAATAGAAAGGGAGGAAAGTGGAAGGAAGGAGGATGGTGGGATCAAGGTGTCCAAGACTGGCTTAGACTGCTCAAGCTTAGCGGACCATGTTGTCTTACCACCTGCCTTGAATGGTGGTGCTATGAGATTTTGGTCTTGCTTACGGGAAGGTTACCAAATGCCAAGCAGGCAGTGGGAGTGATAGCTATCGTGCTAAACTTCGACTACTTGCTCTACTCTGTGATGTTGTCACTAGCCACATGTGCATCCACTCGCGTCTCTAATGAGCTTGGCGCAAACCAGCCCGTCTCTGCATCCAAATCAGCATACGTATCACTGGCAGTGAGCGTAATTTCAGGTTGCACTAGTGCCATGGTAATGGTAGGAGCGAGAGGTATTTGGGGCCCCCTGTTTAGCCACGATAGAGGAATCATAACAGAAGTAAAAAAGATTCTGTTGCTAATGGCAGTGGTTGAAGTTGTAAATTTCCCCTTAGCTGTTTGTGGAGGAATTGTCCGTGGAACAGCTAGGCCATGGTTGGCAATGTATGCTAATCTTGGGGGGTTTTACCTCTTAGCTTTACCGTTGGGTGTTGTTTTAGCCTTCAAGGCTGCACTTGGACTACAAGGATTGTTGCTAGGATTTTTAGTTGGGATGGTAACATGTTTGGCATTGTTGTTGATGATGGTTGTGGGAATAAAGTGGCATGAAGAAGCTGCGAAGGCAGAAATACTTGCCTCTGACGTAGCAGTTGTTCAAGATGGAAATCTGAAGACAGTGGATCCAGTAAACGACACTGAAGTATGAAAAACACCCGATAAAATTGTTAGTGCTTCAAAGCCATGCTCCATATACATGCACGCTAACCTCGATCTCCTATTTGTTTTCATCCTTTAAGTGTTACATAGAGGAATCTTTAATCCTCGTGCCCCTAGATTCAATTGCCAAAGCCTATTTTGATGAGGCTAGCTTGTACATATGAAGAACTTTATATGATCTTGAAGATTGTTCTAAACAAGGCAGAATTCAGCATCTTCCTTTGGATGCTGGAGAACAATGGTCATGTTCATATGTCCATTCAGAATACAGCTCAAGCAAACATGCTAAACAGGGAAGCAAAATGCCAGGTTATGTTGAACTTTCACGAATGCATGGATGGAAATGACCAGCAACATCATTCAACGGATGCATAGATTGATCACTCAATAATGAAAAGAATTACATCTCAGAATGAGTAGCAAAGGCAAGTTTTACCCATCTACAGATTCAGGTTCAGAACTCAAAGAAGTGAGCTCCTTGGCTTTGGCATCATTGAAGCCAAGAGCCGCCATTATCTTGTGACCAGGTGATTCCACTTCAGACCAAATGCCAAGAAGCAGATGAGTTGTTGTAATTTCCCCATCATCAGCTGCAATTTGAAGATTGAATTTCAGCATCCTCTCAACAGTTTATATGCCATGCACAAAGCCACAGACTCCATGAAGAAGAATTTCATCAAACAGACAATGCAATCTAATAACAACATCAATGCAGAATCTTTATCATGTACAGTATTATGAAAACTCTCTGAGGCATCCAGCTTACCACTTTTTCTTGGCTCAGTGTGCTCTGAAGTTATAATAAGGAATGAATAGAATCATATATTCCCTTATTCAATATGTATAACCGTTCAACTGATTCATTCAGATATATCTTACTTTGTTTACAGAGCATGCAACTTACATTTAAGCACCTTAAAGAAATCATGAAATCAGTTATAAAAGCAACTAACAATAAAAACTGGAAACTTACCAGATTTTAGTTTCTGATCAACAGCCCAATCAAGGGCCCTTTGAGCATGTTCCGTCAAAGGAGGACGCTCAGGACTGATAGAGAAAAGGTCACCCTTTTCTAGTAATTTGACACTCTCTTCACGCACCTTGAAAAGTGTGATTCCATTTGCACGCAAAAATTTTGCAGCCAGACTAGTTCCTGCCAAGCAAATGAACTTCAATATGGGATGGTAAAACATTTACAGAGTTATGAGCTATTAGATAAAACATCTGATAAACATTATCCCATTGCAAAGATAAGATGGATTCTGAAAGGACCCAAACTCTAACTTAAAAGAAATGCATGCACTTTGAACATGTACACCCTGCAACCCAGAATACAGCAGTCAAATTCAAAATTAACAATTGCATATCATTTCACTTTCCAAATGTTCTCACAAATATGCCCTAGTTTTCTGCAATCACTTCAGTAAAGGTACAAATATTGGTCAAGTACAGGGATTTTCCAACACAACCAATAGTAAACTTAACGACAATATTAATTCCAACACTTGCTTTTTCCATCGTTCAAAATTTCTATTCTATTTCCACAAAAGTGAAAACAAGAAACAATATGTTTTTGTCAGGAAAGGACTCATTCTGGTAAATAGTAAATACCAATCACTAAAGACCTAAAAATCAGAAATCTATACGGGCACAATTAACATTTGGACTGAACCCAATTACACTACAGTATCTGCACTGCCCCAGCCTTGTATATTTAGTGCCACGTCCTATTTCAGAAAGATTATACTTTTACTTCTAACATGTCATTCACCATTAAGAAAAGGAAATTCATGAAAATTTTGAAAACAAGTTAACAACAATAAAACTATCGATACTACCCCCACAAAAAAGAGCAATGATGCTGTTGCAGTGCATTCCAAGAAAATACCAATCTTTAATTAAATTAATGTGGCACCTTGAAACTGTAAAGCAAGAAAAAGTTTCTTATTTTATTAACCAACCAGAAGACAAAGATGTTACAAAATTTTGGCCCAGAAGTGCTTGCTTATCATGCAAGTATGTTATTACTACCTACCAAGGCAGCACTAAAAAGTAAGTGCATGTTTGCTTGATGAAATTAATCATGCTAACAACAAACTTTTGTATCCTATAGACCCATGGTAGCTCACTTCTCAATTATGCTGATTGTCATTTTCAAAAATGACTAACATTATCAATGATCACACATTCTTTTATACGTAGTTTGTTTTAAATGACTTGTTTCTCATTTTCCCTTCCCTATTGGGACTGAGAGAAGATTACCTTTTAGCCTTTAAGATGACATTAGGCAGACAAATTACTAAAACGAGAAAAGGGAACTAAAAGGAGCTTTAAATGGAAATGGGTGGTAGAAAATGTGATTACCTTCAATCAAAATGCCCATAAGCAAAGCCTCAGTTCCAGTAGTTTCATACTTGAGTTTCCTGGCTTCCAATTCAGCCATACAAAATGACTTTATTGCCCTCCTTGACCATCTGTATTTTCATTCACTCAATAAAAACCCAAAAAGAATTAAATATATATATATATATAATTATGGAAAGAAATCAAAATAAACTGAATTTACTTGGGAACTTTCTCAGTTGAAGCAAATCTGTCTGTTTTCCTGCAACACAAAAATTACATAAAAACACAAAAAAGAAAACTAAAATTACATTTTAGTTAATGAAGAAAAGATGGATATGAGAATTTTACGAAGTAGGGAGACTTGAGATGGAAGTTGCAGTGATGGGGCGGTAGTTGGGCAAGTGGGGTCTAGGTTTTGATGATTGAAGAGAAAGTTTGATGCCAAGCCATGGACTTTGTAGACTGTAGGGCTTTAGAAATGAAGAAGATGAACTGGGTTTTGATTTGTTTCTGGATAGGGAAATTACTGGCGCGGTCGACGCTGGATTTGATATAGATTGGGCAGCTGCCATTTTTCTTTGGGTAGAAACCAGAAAACGAGTTCCGAATTTGAATAGGTGGAAATTGTAGATAGGCGAAAAAGTTAAAACAAAATATGAAACGGCATCGTATTAGAGCCCCTTCACTTTCCATTCTCATTTCGGCTCGAGTTGATCCACCTTCCTTTCTTCAACAAATTGGGTAAAATAAATCAACTGTTAATAATAAAAAAAAAACCCACCAACCATTTTATGGGCTTAATTGAACAAAGCCCATAGTCATATGGGCAATTGGGCATTCTACCCTCACCAATGTCAATTCACTTCAACGACAATGATACTTTCTATTTGCACCCAACACTGCTCGTGATCAAATTCCCAGCGACAGAAGCAAAAAGAATACAGTTGTAGAAAGAAAACCAAAACACCCCTCCAAAACCCTTTAATACATCAATCATTTTCATGCTTCAAATCACATGTAATGCTTGCCATACCAATTGGGGGAATCCAAAGTTAAGTTTCTTCTCTATACCCAAACCAAATTAACATGTTCTTATGCCGCCAATTACGTTGCGCCGCAACGTAGATTAAGGATGCAAAAGAAAAATTATAACAACATCCCAATGTTGTCTTTAAAAAGTTAGGGTGTATCTTCTTTTAACTTGTTTGCCCAACAAGACATGGATTCATTTGATAAAGCAATGTGTGGTGTTATGTGATTTGGCTGCAGGTGGGGAAGGGACCTAATAAAAAATCTTAAGGAACCACCGAACCTTAATCAGGGCTCAATTTTGTGTGGCAAAACCCATTTTGTCATGATTTTGTACAGGAAAAAAAAAAGTTTTAACTTTGCTGTGGGGTTGCGGGGTGGGCTCCTCCTCAGCCTCAGGCCTGCCTGTGCCACAATTGAAGAAAAATGTGAGCAATCAAGTGGTTCCCACTTGGATTTTCAGGTCTGTTACCCTGTTTAGAGGGGGGCTAAACAGGATACAAGTAGCAGAGAATGTTAAGGCTGGTTAGTCAAATAGGAACTAAAAAGAAGGGAATTTCTTTTTGAAGATTTTGGAGCTAGGTAGGACAGCAAAAATCTGTTGCATATGCAGCACCTATCAGATCTCGTGATGGACCCCCTGTTCAGCTTTGGTCCTTTGGATATTAACATCTGCATGTCAATACCATCTATGATCTTTTCCTTTTTTTCTCTTTAATATTGGGATTAAGGTTGTGTTTAAACTCAATTTGTATGAAGAATTTTGGAGCAAAGACTATTTATTCACAGTTTTTCTTTTTTTTTTTGGTTAAACAAATATTACATTACCAGATAAAGATAATTTTTAAAGATTAAAACTAATAAAAAAATTTAGCCGTATCTCCTTTTTAAGCAAAAATAATTTTATACAATTATCATTAAGCAATATATATATATATATATATATATATATTCTAAATGTTTCAAAAGACTTTTTTTGGGGAGTTTGAAGTAAACTGTAAGTCGTAGAGAATTTTCTTGTATTCATATTAAGCCAAAGGTCACAGTTGAGACGATGATGTGAAATTGTTTTGCCCCCATCGACGGGGCATGAAAGCTTGACCAAAGGAATGAAGAATTTCTTAGGTCATTCTCATGTCACTGCATGTAAGCACATTGAATGATTGATCCTTTCTATCAAAAAACATAAACTAGTAAAAACAATACTTAATAACTCATTGCTTCACTTTTTCTGCGAAAAGCTATGGCTTAGTAAAATCTACAAAATCTTGGTTTTACCTTGAACTGCCTAAGATCAGGCTACATGTTCATGTTTGAGGATTCCCTCCATATTTAGGAAGCTTTAAATCAAATATATTCAACTTGAATAATGAGTTTAATTTGGGTAAAAAAAAACATATTCAAACAGTTAGGTCCGATTTGATTTTTTTTAATTATATAATATATTATTTTAAATGATTTATATATATTATATATGTACTTTATATTATATAAAAAATAAATATATATGATTTTGTTACGTAAAACATTTAAAATTAATTATGTTAAATTATTCATGCTTTAAAATTTAACAAAACATCGAATTATTAAAAGCTAAATAAAAGTAACATTTTTTTTTTCAAAAAAACATACAATTCATTATCATTACATAAGCAAAAGATATCATCAAATCAAGTAATTCAAAATTTTCAGAGGGAAATAATAAAAAATCTCATGGTGTGAATCCTTTTACAATGAACAATGAAGAAGATTGTCAATTTCAAATCACCCTATTATAACTACTTAGTTAAAAAAAAAGGTGGGACTTTGAAAAACTTCATGCCTAATCATTAAAAAAATAAGATAAAAATCAAGATATGCTATTTGTTGGATAGGCCAATTGAATGGTTAAAACATTTTATTTTCTTTTCAATTTTCTCCTAGGGGGCACACAATGAGTAGGCAATTGGATTTGATGCCTTGTCAAAGGGAGCCAAAAGCCCCACATCCAAATTTCCTCAAAGCCTTTGCCTTTGGAGAGGGGCAAGAGTCTCCATCCTAAATTGACTTCGATTTCCATCAATTTTTTTTCCTTTAATGGCTTCAGCCTCTGCCTCAGGCCCTCCCCCATCCTTTTGACAAATCAATTTTCCATTCTCAACAACCAGTTTTGTTTTTTATTTTCCCAGCTGGCTGAACTTGATGTAATAACTGCCAGCATCTATCAATGTTTTATGAACTGTTCTTTACTTCCAATACAAAAAAATAAAAACATGTTTAATAATCCCTTAAACTTGAAAGCTGCCTATTTATTTGCATTTATTTTTTCTTTGTTGGAAAGCGATGTTGGATCTTGATGATCAAAAGCTAACCTTGTTCATGAGCTTCACCAAAGCAGCAAAAAAAAACACACACACACACGTCAAATACTTGGTGTGTTCAATGTTAATGGTATTAATTTCATTAGGGTTGAGAAAGGTAGCAAATAAATGCATTTAATTTGAAAAGAAAGTAGAAACCAACATATTATATCTGAATAAAAAGAAAAATGTTATACACGTTATTATAAAAATAAGAGAAAATTATTAAATTATAATAAAGATAACGCAGATAAATAACTAATTAATTACGAATAAATTGTAAGCTTATTAGTAATAGAATCAGACTTCAAAATTAAGTGTTTCGAGTTTAAATTTTAATAAAAAAAAAATCATTTTTCAAACCTCATGCTTCAAAGTGCTTCAATACCAAGTAACCAAAAAAATAAATTTTTTTATTAAACGAATTTTTAATAAAAAAATAAAAATCCTTTAGTAGTTAACATCATCAGAAAAAAAAAAAAAAAAAAGGTCAGTTGAGTGATCAAGTCAATTGACTTAACTCAATAGATTTTCCTATTTCTGAACTCATTGGCTCAAATGGTTCAGCTAACAAACCCAGACTTGCAAGGCAAGCCTCATCTATGAAACTTTGGTTTTACTTTTTGCTTTTTGTTTACGTTTTCTTTGTTAGCTCCACAGTCTCCCATTATCACTCCCTTGCTTGTTCTGAAGTGGAAATATTTACCGTCTGATCTGATCAGACGGTGAGATAAGCAATCAGTTCTTGTCTGAAATTGTAAATTTGCCTTATCAAGCAAAACCTTCCATCATCGTGAGGAATCTTGTTCAAGAACATGAGAATATTCTCCATTGGCTTTATTAAAATAATGATTTTTTAAGTGTGAAAATTACATAATTACCGATTTGCTTCATTTTACATTATTTTCCCAAAAAAGAATTGTTCATTGATTCAAAAAGTATGATTCAGAAATTATGGTTTTTTTTTTATGGGATTTGCTTAAAAAAAAAAAACGTTTGTTAGTAGCCATAAATGACGTAAGTGATTGATATTTTGAAGCAAATCTAATTTCAGCAAAATAAATAAATTGATGTCACCATCTTTTGCTTTCTATTTAAGAAAAACTGAACCAGGAAAATCCACGTGTTTTGAAAATTCTTTTTCATGCCTTAAAACATGACTTTATGGGAACTTTCTGAAAGTGGGATTTCTATAATGGATGCATCTTGATAAAATTAATAGTAATTGTAATTAGTTTGTTTTTAAATCAGAATATGTTAAATTAAATATTTATTTTGATAAATTAAAATTTAATTTAATTATTTCATATAATTATTTTTAAAAATAACATATAAAGGCTTAAGATTAAAATTTTAATATATACATTTTTATCATTAAATTATGATTTTTTATAAAAAATCTTTAATTTAACATTTTTAAAAGGGCAATGTCACAATGAGGCCATAACTATGCCTAACAAAAATATAATAGTGGGCAAAACATGAGCTGAGGCTAATACTGGAGAATCACATGCATAACGTCTGACCAAATCATGATTATCTTAAAACAGTAACCGAATTTGACGGCCAAGATCTTTTGGTTAAGAAAATTTAGGATCCTTTGACTATAAAAAGTGAAAAAACATGCGATGTCCTAAAAAGAGTAAAAACCATCCAGATTCAAGGCTCAATCAAACAAAATATTTGGGCACTATATAAAATAAAATAGCTATGATTTGTTTCACAAATATCGATTTTTTACTTGTTTGTTTAATCGAACATGTTTAATCACGTCAGAGGAAAACATGCTTGCAGTGCCCCACGGAGATATCTGCGGCGCCGCTGTATCCTATCCTAAACGACGTCCCACTTAATTCCCGCCTACAAATGTGAATAAGGTTTCGAGTTGGGCGCCAAAAGGAGTTCAATAACGGTCAAAAGCGAAGGCCGTCGCCGACCAAAAAAAATTAATTAAAAAAAAGGTGAATTACGAAGGGACCCAGTTTCGACGGCTGAGCTGTATCCACGTGTCACTTCACTGTCACCTCGTACTTGACTCCCCGTTGCTCCAAAAGCCACCAACTGTAGCCGATTCATCCCTCGAGTTATTCGGCCTCCCAAATCCTACGGGCTTTCCACGTCAGCCAACAAGGATCCTCTTTTGCCTTCTGGGAATATGCAAGGGGCAGTTGCTCCAACTTTCGCCTTTCAACAGTCTATTTACTTTAAAAATAAAACATTTAAATTTTATTATTTTAAAAATTATGTATAATGTTAAAACATGCATTCTTGTAAAAATGAATAAAAAATAAATAATTGTTTTACTCTTAAACTATGTTATTCAAAATAACTAATGAATTTTATGTAACTCAAGGGAAAACATATTTTATTGTACTAAAAAACAATTTGTATTAAATATTAGATTATTTATAATTAAAATTTATAAATAAAAATGGTGACAATTGATTGACGAGAAGAAGTTTATTTACATTATTTATAATGTATTTTACTGAGTTTAATATTAGCAGTCAAACACTACCTTATTTTTTTATTTTATTAAGCTTGAGTTTAGTATTACTTGTTTTTAATCCACCAATAACACAATCAAATCACGTTTACTTCCTATTGGGGTTGGATCATCATAAGATGTGTACTGTTTTGAGCGAGTGTGGTACAATAAAATTATGCAACTTATAATAACAAGTTTCCGGTTTGGAGTTGAAAAAACGCAATGACCCATAGACGAGTGTTGGTGAAAACAGTTGGCCCTAACCAGTAATTAATGGTAATGGGTTGGATTGAAGTAAATTTTTATTTGTTTCAAATTCGATTAAATAAAATTTTTAATTATTTTTATACTTAAATTTGATATTGTGAAAATTTATATTTAATTTAATTTGCTTAAAATCCGACCTCGATCATACCTCAAATTTTTTTATGCAACCCTACTTGATACCCGATTTAAAAAAAAAAAACTATAAAAGATTGAATCAGATCCGTCAATTTCAAATTTTTTTGCTTTCTCTAGCCCTAACGCTCCCCTAATCTTTAGATTGTATATAAATTCAACATGAATAAATAAATATATGTTTATAATTTATTTATGAATTTTTAAAAGTATTTAAGTTTGATTTGTATTTAATAAAAAATTATTTTATTTATTTGAATTTGATTCATTTAAAAAATATGATATTTGCATTTAATTTAACATATAATTCAATTAAATTAAAAAAATTAATTTAAAAAAATTAAATAAATATATTTAAGAATATACATAAATAAATATATTTATAAATAATAAATAAATAATAATCAAATAAATTTAAATAAATAAATTTTTAACAAATAAAAATAAAAATAAATCAATTAATCAATTAAATAGATCTTATTTATATTCAATTTGTTTAATAAATAAATATAAAAATATTATTTAAAATTATTTATTAAATTTAATAAATAAATATAACTAAACATAAAAAAAATTAAACAAATTCACAAAATTTTTGAAAAATACTCTACTAGTTTACATTTCTATTAATCTCTGTCTTTTTTTTTTTTTCTCGACTAGAAAATTGTTGTTTTGCTTTTATCGATGTGGACATTTCCGCGATGACGTCGCCCCATCGCCGTCCTCGGTTTGGCGGGAATATCACCGGTTTCCCGCCATACCCAAATCCGAAGTTGGTGCTCTTCAACTTTAGGAGGCGTTAGAATTTAATTTTAAGCTTTAACCGCCAACAACCGTCACTGTTAACAGATACGTGCATTAGGACATTAACAGCTGTCGGTTTTCGAGTAGCGCAACGCACGTCTGAAGGGGAGCGGGTCGAAAGTATTGAATGCTTTGTTTGCCACGGGGCAACGTCATGAGCCAAACGTGGTTCAAACTTCAAAAATCGTGAGGCGTTCATCCTTCAACGGAGAGTTAGATTTAAAAATTAACGTCAGCCCTTTGCCTGTTTTCTTTTTATCTTCGTGTGGTTGACACTTGACAACTTAACTGTGGAGACGGCCCGTAGGAAGCGGTGCAAGACGTGGTCTAGTTAAACCGGAGAACGTGTTTTCTGACAACCCTGCACGTGATTTGCAGATATGGGCCCCACGTCTGGGTTGGGGTCTTGGTTATGACAGCATGTCGTAGGACATCGCATTCTATGACCGATCCGTGTCCATTCTACAATTAAATCAATATTTTATTGTATTTTTGAAAAAAATTAAAAAAAAATAGAGAACTCATTAGATTAAGGAGCAAGACATAATTAATGGGAAGGCGTGCCTCCACGACTACGTCGAAACTCATGCGGCAGTCTTTTACCTTCCGACCAATTAGATGCGACCACGTAAGATTTAACATGACCTTTTTCTTATAGACCAATTTGCCTTTTGGAGATTGTGACCGACCGACAGTGCAAAAAGGAATATAAATATGCTTAGTGATTACGCTCGCTCCTCGCCTAATACAATTCGATCCAACGTATGGCGTCGGAATCTTTAATTTTACGGCTTTCCTTTTGTAAAAGTAGGATCGATTCAAATATTAGAATCGGAATAGTTAAAAAGACGGATGTACCCATTTATAATGATTAAAGAAGGAAAAATCAGAGGGTAAAAAGGGGAAATGAGTGAAATTATAAGCCAATGTAAAGATAAAAGATTAGATTACACCAATTAGAAGAAAAACCGGCCCGGAAAAATGACGGAAAAAGCCGATTCCAGCGGGTGTTGTCACTTTGCGGACGTCATAAGTCGGGTCGGTTTGATAATTAAAACTTAATTATAAAGCCAAGAAGGGTCCCACTTTGCCGACCTGGATAGATCCACACCGTTGATCAAAAACTCACTCTTCGTTTTATTCTTGAGTCGAAGGCACGCAAAAGGAAATTGCCCTCAGTACAGGTGGCATCCGAGCTGGACTTATGAACTACCTCGATTGGGGATCAAGCGACACGTGGTACTAATAAAGTTCACCAGCGGGAGTGTGTAGAACTGGAATGTATAGTAGATGTAAGAAAAATAGGTCAGGGCGGGCAGACTTATCGGGCAGGCCTTACTCACGCCATGCGACCATCTCTTTTTTTTTTTGGGCGTGTAATAGAGGCATGGTTTCGATATTATAAAATAAAAAAAAGTATGAAAAATAAAAAAATTAATTAATGTAAAATATATATAAATTGGGGAGCATAGAAGACGGGAGGGTTAAGAACGAGGCGTGCTTTGCGCTTTGCAACTCTAATTCTTTTTCACAAGACAAAAACAAGGGAAAATAAGAAAAGAAAGGAGAGAAAAGAAGACTTTGGTGGCAGGTTGTTAATAGCGATTTAGTCGAAGAAATACAAAGTCGAGGAGTTCTTAGAGTGTCTGGCATTTGGCCTTGTTTGATTCAGCCAAGACCGACGTTGGTTTCCTTGGTTTTTCGACACATAAAAAGGGTTGTTTTTGAAGTTTATTTTGTATTGAAGTTTCAATCTTTTTTGGGTTCTTCAAGAGAAAGCAAAGTAAGAAGAAGGAAGAAAGAGAAGAGAAAAATGGAGTGGCATGCTTATCTTGATGAATATGAGAAGCTTGTTATAAGGATGAGTACTCCCAGGTTTGTGGTCTTGGTTTCTTTCTTCAAATCCTAAACTTTTGCGTTTGATAAGTGGGTTTTCCTGTTGATTTTGCCTTATACCTTTGAGCTTCCTGGGATTTTGGGTTTCAACTCTTTTTTGGGCTTTTAAATTTCACCTTGTGTATTTTATCATATCTTTTAAAGCCAACAATTTCTTTGTAACATATTTCTTTTGGATTTCAATGTTCTTCTCAGTTCTGCCTTCAAGGTCTCTGCCTTGTTCTGGTTCTAAGGTTTCTGTTTCCTTTTTTTCCGGAACAGGATCTCTCCATACTTATGGAAACTTGTGAACCGTATCATCTCTAAGCCTTAACCAATACTTACCAATTTTTAATTACAATTATTACCATTTTTAAAATTTTCATTTTTTAATGATTTTTTGACATTTGATTTTTCTTTCCCTTCAGATGTTCCGGAAGCTCTGTAATTCTTCCTTAGATTTTTCAAAGATCTGTTTCATAAAATTTTTCCTACTCCTAAAATAAAAAAAATTACTAGAAACTGAATATCCCTGACTTGACCTTTCTGTGCTTTTTGTTGTTTTACAGGGTTGTGATCGACAATGCCGTTTGCCCCAATTCGACTCTTGTCAAGGTCAGCTTCTACGAAACCTCTCAAATATGAACACACCGCAAAGATTGTTGTCTTGTTTTTCTTTATTACTGCCCAAAATTTGGACTTATGGGTCTCATGTTTTCCTTTGACTTTTCAAAGCCTTTGAGTCATTCCAGTTCCTCTTGCTTTGATTTCTCAGGTTGATAGTGCTAGAAGGCACGGAATTTTGTTAGACGCTGTTCAGGTTTTAACAGATCTGAACCTTTCAATTAAGAAGGCTAACATTTCATCTGATGGCCAGTGGCTCATGGATGGTAAGCTAAATTTACTTCAAAAAAAATTTTGATTTTTGAGATAAAGTTTGCTCTTTTGGTATGTTACTATACCTGATTGTTGCTTGAAATTCCTGCTACTCACATTTTCCTTTTCGGTTTTGCAGTTTTCCATGTGACTGATTTAAACGGAAACAAATTAACTGATGAGAGCGTTATTAGCTACATTGAACAGGTAATTATTGTGCTTTTTATTTTATTATTAGTGCCCTTTATACTATCTTAACTTGCCATAAAACAGACTTTTATTTTGTTTTATTTTTCTGTGTTACAGTCCCTTGAGACCACTCATCCAGATCGAAGCCATGAATTTAATGGTTTAACGGCATTGGAATTGACGGGAACAGAGAGAGTTGGTCTTTTATCAGAAGTATTTGCAGTTTTAGCTGACCTGCAATGCAATGTGGTAGATGCTAAAGTATGGACTCATAATGGGCGAATTGCGTCTTTAATTTATGTAAAAGATTGCAATTCAGGGTCCCCAATTGAGGACTCACAGCAAATTGACAGAATCGAATCACGTTTAAGGAATGTTTTGAAAGGAGACAATGATATTTGCAGCGCAAAAACTTCAGTTTCTATGGCTGTAACCCACACTGAAAGAAGGTTACATCAAATGATGTTTGCAGATCGTGACTATGAAAGAAAGCCTATTTTGCAACATAAGGTGGATTCCCCTGTGGTCACTGTGCAAAATTGGGTGGAAAGAGGTTATTCAGTTGTGAATGTTCAGTGCAAGGATCGAACCAAGCTTTTGTTTGATGTTGTTTGCACATTGACAGATATGCAATATGATGTGTTTCATGCCACCATCAACACAGCTGAGGATAAAGCATATCTGGTACTTAATTGTTTCATTATTAAATCTTCTTAAGATTTGGGTTACTGGGCTTCAGTTTGTTGACTTAAATTGGCTTATTGGTGTTACAGGAATTCTATATAAGGCACACGGACGGAACCCCAATTAGTTCAGAACCTGAAAGACATCGTGTAATTCAATGCTTACAAGCTGCAGTTGAAAGGAGAGCATCTGAGGTATATTTCTATTCCAAGAGATTTCTCTATTTGAAGGTTGAATCTTTAATTTTCAATGTTTATCCAATATTCCAAACCCTGATGCATCAGTTAGGTGATTTCAGGGTGTAAGGCTGGAGTTATGCGCATCAGACAAGCAGGGTCTATTAGCAGATGTGACCCGAACGTTTAGAGAAAACGGTCTTAATGTGACGAGAGCTGAAATATCAACCACTAGGGACATGGCTTTAAACGTTTTTTATGTAACAGATGCAAATGGGAACCAAGCAGATCCCAAAATCATTGAAGCAGTAAGACAAAAGATTGGTTTAGGGAACTTAAAGGTAAAGGAATTGCCATTGATTTATCATCAAAAGGCAGAAAGGGAAGAACAAGCAGTAGGGGTTGGTGGGGCAGTGTTGTTATCACTTGGGAGCCTAGTGAGAAGGAATCTCTACAATTTGGGGCTGATTAAGTCCTATTCTTGAAGATGAAATTCCAGGGCAGCAATTCGGTAGGAGAGATTTGTTCAGTGCTGTTTGGTTGGCGATTGGCATATTCTTTGCTTCAGGTTTGGGCTTCGGCCTTTGTGTGTGCATATGAAAAAGGTGGCATTTGGTGATAGTTGTTGTTATTGTTGGATTTGGTTGGTTGAATAGACAGAACATATAGGGAAAAGATTGGAAGGCAGCTCCACCAATTGCTTTTATTACCCCCCAAAGCCTTGTTTGGGAGGAAGAATTTGTATGGGAAGAGGGAAAACAAAAGAAAATTTAAAACAAGTCGGTGGGGTTTGTGGATTTGTGCCATAGATTTGTTGCTGGCAGAGAGGAAGAAAAAGAAGATTAGGTAGAAGAAAAATATGGTTTATTATACACAACATTTGTACATGACGACTTTGAAGTATTAATTAATTATAATGGTTGACTTGAAATTTTTTTATATTGTTGTCTTTTATTTTCTGATTTCGCCCTTCTGTTTAAAGGAAGAATCTAGAGTTTGATTAATATTATGAGACATAAGGTCCTACTCTTCTAGATTAAAAAGAATCCTTTGCCTAAAGACTACTCCATCAAGATGCTTCTCTTATCAGAACATTTGGAACCAATCAAAGGGGACAAATATTTGGAACAATGGTAGGTTTCCAAAAGGAGAAAAATAAATATTTTTGTTTTAACTCAAACTGATTTTTGGTGATATTCACAAATTGATTTATTTTTCTGATTTTATTATATGCAAATGATGGAATGTTTTTTTCCTCTAGCAATTTGTATCTTAAAGTTTCATTTGGATGAATAATAAAATTAGTTGTAGTGAAATTAAAAATAATAATAAAAATTATCGTAATTATGATTGAAAAAAATTTAATGAAAAATTTATATTAAATTGATCTAATTGAAGTTAATATTTATATTTAATTGATGATATGATTCATATAATTATTTTTAAAAATTAAAATTTTAATATTTAAAATTTTTTAAAAAAATTTCCTCTGCAATCTTCTTTGTAAAAAAATTTAAATGTTTTTAGTATAGCTGAGAATATTAACCTATCTAACCAAGCAAATACTTTTTATTTAGGCCAAAATTCAACCAACCACTTTGAACCAAGTCAAGTGGCCTGAAATTCCAAATCGAACATAAATTTTAACTAGATTGGCTGGTATCGGCCAGCTATTCAAAAGGAAAGTCGGCAGGGAAAGATTAGAAAAATCAATTAGCCTAACTTTTTAGATATGGTACAGTAATCACAAAGTCTTCAACAATTAATAACTCTGAATAGACCAGCATTTATGGTTGATAGAAATTACGGTGGATGTGATAACGGTTTGCACCCGCTGCCGCCCTATAACAACCACAACCAAGTTTGTTCCAGTTTCACACTTTCCTGCCAAAAATTTACGCTAGTATTGCATTTATGGTATTTTTGGTGTTATATGATTGAATTTATTATATTTTTAATTAAATTTAAATATTAATTTTAGTGAGATTTATTTAATATAAATTTTTATTAATTTTAATTATAATAAAAAATTTTAATTATAATTATTTTTAATTTCATTAAAATTAATTTTATTATTCATTTAAATAAAGCCTTAAAATTGCACAGCTTAACATTCATATCAATACCATAAAATTTTAGTCTTAAAAACTTGATTTTGTGCAAAATTTCATGATCATAAAGTCCAAAACGTGAGATTAAAATTCAACACTTGTCACATATAAATAATAATACTAGTCGTATGGCTAATATATTCATACTTAGGAAAATTAGACATAATTTTAACAACTAATTTGTAAATATTGATAAGAATTATTCTATCAACTTTTTCATGATAAATGGATGTGAAACTTGATCCTAAGTTCTTATTGTAACTATTAAAAGATTTTATCAACTAAAACAATTGGCACTTGGCACATTCAAATTGATAAAAGCACCTATATAATAACTAAATAACCAGAAAACCAATGTTAAAGACCTTTCTTTATGCTTGACATGAGCTCGGAGAATTTAACTTGTGTTTATCTCTATTGCCATTTGGGTGAATAAGTTATTTTTTTGGTTGTATTTGTTAAAACATCTATGGAATTTTGGTTAGAATCCCATTTTAATAATGAAACTTGGCAGGCAGGGCAGCCAATGCCTGCTAATACTAGCTATAGACTCTGCACCATCTCGCTTTAAGAAAATAATTAATTGAATAAGATTGAAAGTAGTCAAAGAAGGCAAAAACACAAGGGGAAAGTCGGCTGCTTTGTCTTTACCATGTTTTTACCTGTCCCAGGGAAAAACCACCCATACCCGACACTCAAGTCAATCCCCTGAAGTGGAAGGTTTCTTGGGTTGTGGCTTTGGATTCAACACCCTTCCTTTTCTTTTCTTTTTTTTCCCCCATTGTTTTCAATTTAAAATTAATTCCAAGATATTCCTCTCTTCCCTTCACTATTAATTGGTTTAATAGGAATTAGAGCCTCATATACTTTTGGCCAGATTGTAATTTTATAAGTTATTTGTTTTTGCAACATTTATACCATAAAATTAACCACAAACAATTATGCATTCTTATGAAAAATGTTTTACAAATCTTTTGCTCCCATTCATTTAAAAAATATATAAGCAAAAAGAATTAGTCCAAAAAATTCACTCAACACATGCAAGTGGTGGACTAGAAACTAGCAAGAGAAACCAGAGCACCGGCTCAAACAGCTGTAAAGAATTTGGCAGTTTCCGAATTTCAAAACAAAATCAAATCTGTTGTCATTGACCCATTAATGCATGGGCTGTGAATTGTCCCTCTCTCTTTTCGATTACATAAATTTTCTTTCTTTTTGTTGTCACATGAATTTAGATGAGACAATATCTTTTCTTCTCTTCATCCCAACTCCAAGCTAAAGTCTTTGGTTCATAAATCAGAATCCCCCCCTTGTGGTCCACAATGGGAATTTGAAGAAAGAAATAGGAAGTTTTGTCAATTTCAAGAGTGAAGAAGTTAATGGTAAACAACTAAGACAACTTTGACCTTAAAAAACATGCTCCAGCTAGCTACAGCACATAGAAATTTGGGGTTTAACAGCTAACCGCGTGAGCTTTGGGGAACTTTAGAGCCCCCCTTGGCTCACATGCCGGCAAATGCGCCGGTTAAGGTGGGTTAGCTTCTGTCCCTTTCGGCTCAGGGGAGGAAGAAAGAAAGAGAAAAAGTCACTGACACTGACACTGACACTGTTGGAAACACATGCCTTAAGGCTAAGTGTGATGGCCTGCAGCTGACTCCCTTATATGGCTCTGCTTTTCATAGACTAGAAAGTCTGTTTTGTTGGTCTGTCTTTCAATTTTTCAATGGCTTGGCTTGTTTGTCTCTCGTAATAATTTGATGAAATTTGCACATAAAATAAGGATCATTCTTTTGGTTGGCTTTGGGCTCAAAAAATAGGACAGTCAAACATCAATTAAGCTATTGCTTTTTTATAATGCGAAGGGAAGAAATTTTCATCTTTTGGTCATCCTGGTTTTGGATTAAGTTAGGCTAATCATTAGCTAGATATTACATTAGGGAATGATAAGGAAAAAAATCACTTTTTTTATATTCTCTTTATTAAAATTTCACTTTTTATTAAGCTTGTTGTTTAATAGAATAAATAAATAAGAAAAACTAAATTTTTTTGTCAAGTGTTTATAATTGCATGCCCCTAATTTTTACTCATTTCTCAAACAAAGAAATATAAAAATTTCAAAATATGTAAAGTGAACTATTGTAATATTTTTTAATATATAAACGTTTGATTTAATGATTGATTCATGATTTATAGTTTAAAAAATAAAATTCATATTATCTTTCCTTAAATAAATAAATAAATATAATATATATACTTGTGACTGGCCATCTAGCATGAATTTCTCCATGGCTACTTCTTTTTGAATTTCCAAACATTGTTTTCTATAACTATTTAGCATCTTTACACATGCTGCCATGCTTTTGAATTACATGTTATTTGTAAATTAATACTAACATAATTAAATCGGTATTTTGAAGAGGATTCTCCCACATGTGAGATTCCAATAGTTCAAACTCAAAGGGGGACTTTGTGCAAAGTAGCCAATACATTTATAGATACTAATTAACATAATTGAGAGATTGACAATGCATGGATTACATTTACAGGTAACTTTATGCTAGATTCATTTTGCTTTTCCTTTATTATTATTATTTTTTTTATTTTGGCCAAAATTTGGCATAGAAACCTTCCTCGAATCTGTCCATTTTAAATAAAAGAACCGCAATAATGCAATCTGTAAGATATTAAAATGCTTCTAGAACCATTATTTTTAAGTCAATAAAAAAAAATGTATTAACTACTAACCCACTAGATTCAAAGGTAGTACGTACGGATTTATTATCATTACTAGTAGTATTATCACAAATTTGATGCTAAGTTAATTAAAAACTAATATATAAACAAGGACAATGGATTCAAATCATCATCATTTATAGTGCCAAGTGATGGTTCAATTGCATTCACTAGGCAAGGGTACGGTGGAACACTGCAATTGCATATATTTAAGAATATTGATGAACCCTATCTCCCTGCCAGCATTTGTTCCAAAGCATACAGTGATCTGGCTTCCCAATGCTTTTAAGTGTGCCTAAAACCAATTATCCATGTGAATTTTACAGCCAAAAAAGGAATGCCTCACGATCCCATTATTCAAAGGAGACTATCTCCTATTGGTTCTGTTAATGCACTAGGAAAAAACTTGGACAGCCTTGTCTACCAATATTGCAGAAGGGAAAACTGAGTTTGGTTTAATGAATTTTCCCTTTCGTTGCACCTATTTGAAACGTCCTACGTCTTTGAGCCTAGCTATTTTATTCGCATATGTTCATCTTCACGCAGCTTACATCTCAAACATATGTATGTTTATGCCTTGCACATGGGGATTGAAATGTGCTTTATTTCTGCAGCATATCCTTTTAATTTGTCAATAGAATTGATATATACTCCTTTTCTCTCCTTCCCTTTGTACACTTACAAAAGTCAAGCGAAAATATACTATTGGTTATTGAATGACTGAGTAAATTTTAACAGAGTTCAAAGTTTTGAAGATTCATTAGTATACAATAGAATTTGGTTTATTTCACTAATACTATGTTTGGTAACATTATCAAGCAGATGAAAAGAGCAAAAAATAGAAAATTTTCACATGAAAAATCCTCAATTTTTTTAATTAAGTTTTTTATATGACCAAATTTAAACTTTGATCATTACTAAAAAAAATATTTTATCAACAAATTATACGATACACAACTATTGGCATATCAACAACTAATTTGAAATAATATAATAGAAACTCTTCATGAAAAACTATAAATGGCACTAGAAATTAAGTGTGACCTATTTACATAACGTGGCAAACAACAAATTGAATTTGATGATATTTTTAAAATTTTGCAAACCTACGTCTTTTATGTCGTCTTTATACTCTTTATATTGTTCTCTTCATCATTTAT